AAAAGAAGGCTTTTTCTTTGCAGACATTTTGCAGCTAAACAAAAGAAAGAAATCTATTTAATGATATTTTTTTAATAAATTCAGATATTTTACATTTATTTCGCAGCATACATAAGCAAAGAATATTTGCATTAAATTTTGCAATGGTATGTCATCATACTGCTAGAATTTCAGGATTATGCCAGAGAAAATTTCCTGAAATTTGGAAGTATTATTTACTAATAATAAATAAATTTAGAGGGAAGAAGCAACATTAAATGATACAAATAACATAAAAATAGAACTAGAATAATCAACAATATTTTAGCGAATATAGTTATATTACATGGTTAGCCTAGTACATGGTTAGCCTAGATGACTGATTACTATTTTTTTATTTTACTGCAAAATGACAAATAAGGCATTTATTTAAAAAAATGTTTAAAAGATTTTGCAGTAAAATCTTAGTATACGATAAAGCCTTGGCACGATTTTAAAAATTATCGCCAACACCAAAATGACCCATTTAGTGCTTATCATAATGTTGTTAAATCCCATATGTACCGTGCAAGGAGGTTAGAATAGAATACATGGAGGTTATTCTAACCAAAGAACGTCTATGTAAAGAAGAAAATGTTCCATAGAGGTAATGCTATTACACCGCTAGAAAGGGGAAAGAAAATTTGCCAAGGGATTTTGCGACGAGACCTGACAGCCAGAATTTCCCTCTTTATGATGAGTACAAGAAATTGAGGAAGGCATGTTAAGAAGAAACGTTCTTCAACAAAAAAGTTTCTTCTTTGATTTTTCGCAATAATTTAAGATCGGATTTTCGTAGTGTTTTTTAGTCCAAAGGGATTTCAGTCTCGAAGGACTATTACTTTTGTTTTGGCATTTTGCATCGGACTCCTATAAATGTCGGTTCACTTTTCAAACTGTTGCCACAAAATGTTAGAGTCCTGCATTATATTTGAAGAAATTAAATAAAGAAAATTCTGCATAAATGTATGTATATTTCTTGCACTGTGATAAAACAACGGTATATAGAGTCATCCATTTTTTAATGACGTAATCCTACTGCGAATATGGGCATCTGAAATCCTCAATTTGAAATTTGATATTTCTTTTATTATCAATTTTATATTTTGTAAAAATTTAATGAACTTGTGAGTAACAAACTCAATGATTTAAAAGCGAGCAATGGCAACACTCTACGGAGGAAAAAACCTTTTTATCTACAGCACGTTGAACTGTGTATCGGAAATTCTAAAGATACGCTCATTTTAAAATTACTTTGCAACATTGCTATTGAACTAAATTTTATGGTTTAAGTGCAAAGAACATAATATTTAATAAATAAAGGTAATACACAAAACGTTAAAAAAAAAAGACCCTTTGGACATAATTTAAAATCTGAAACAATTCAGATTTTTTTTTAATTTCCTGTTTCCCCCCTCCCAAAAAAATAACTAATTCATTAATTAATTTACTTGCATGAAAAAATATTTTCTTTTCCTTCAAAGTTTAAAGAAATTTTAAACGATATTCATTTTATGAACTTTTGATAACGTGACCTTCAAACTTTGAGTTTGGCATCTGTGCATGCGCAGCTGTTTCCCAGTGGCGTGGCAAGGGGATTTATGATGCCCGGGCGCTGCTAGCAGAGGGGCGCCAAATGGTCTCCAAACAAGATTTTCATCATATCACTGTGTTTTTCCCGAGGGGGGGCACCAAAAAGGTATTTTGCTCCAGGTGCCAGTTATGCTCGCTACTCCACCGCTATTTCTTTCTACAGGATCGGAGCCACGCTGTTGCAGAAAAGTTTTCCTTCTTTACAATACATATTCTTTGATTCTAACCTCCATAGTACCGTATACTAGGATTAAACCATTTTGTTTTATACAAGAATAAGTATTTTCTTTAGTTCAACACTGCACATGTGATTCTTGAGGTTACTGGAAACTTGCTTTGCCTTTCTAAAAGACAATCTATAATTGGAGCTGCGAAAATTGGCTCTATGCCAGCTGCCTGAATGACGCTCACGCGATACACAATTCGCCAAGAAAGTGATCACTTCCAACGTTGGCGCAAAACTCGCTCACTGGGCTGGAGGGGTAATCTCCGTATACAATTCCTTGACTTTTCCAGATTTTGACTAAAATATTTAAATTCCCTGACTTTTTCCTGAATTTTTTGGTCAATTTCCGAATTCCCTGACTTTTTCCGGTTTACCAGATAGCGTGGCAACCCTGAACAAATAATACAGATAAATGGTTGGGAGGATTAAAATTTGTTCAAGCAATGAGAAACAAAGCATATCACAAGGAAATCAAATGTTCACCTTACAAAGCTATATCTGGTTGTCCTATAAAGCTGGGACTTGCTAACTCAGTTTTTCCACGTAATTTGATTAGTAATACAGCCATTGAAGAGAACTTTGAAAAATTATAAATATTAATAAATTATAAATATTAATAATGAATGCATGGTTAATACAGAAGATGAAGGCACTAATCTTGAATGAACAGTTTTTCTAGAATGGCAAGATAATAATAATAATAATACATGTAAAAAAGAATCATGCATAACAATCGAAGTAGACGCTGAAGTTCAAATTGGGGGGAAAAAAAGAGAATCAGATATATGCTCTGACACAATGGGTGTGATTATCAACTATAAAGTTCAAAATGTGAAAGTGTTTTGAAAGACAGCTAAGGAAGGCCTTGATTAGCAGGCAAAGAAGATGAAGATTGCATCTACTAAAAACATTCTGAAACCTATTCTAGGATAAGATGTTAAAATAAAAGTACCTGATATCGATACACCGAAAATGGATTCAAAATCAGAAATAGCCATTATTGTAGATATTAATGATGATGAGTTTTATGTTCTTGGTAGTAAGTTTAGTAAATTAAAATCTTTGTACAGAAAAAAAACAGGTTACCTTTTGCAAAGAAAATTTTTCAAACATTAAAGAAGTTGGTACAGGAGTAAAAAGTGTACATGAAGTAGTAAAAAACTTTATTTAATTGAGGGACAAAAAAATGACTCAGAAAATGCAACTGTTCAAAGAAGGGTACTACAAAGATGTGTTTGTGGAAACCAGTTGATCTACTTTGTAATTCAAAATGCCATAATAGTCAACCTTGTTGTAACAGGTAGTAAGAACATTAGATGTATTAAAGAAAAACATACTACATTTTTCTCTTTTAAATTTCATAATTTTTATTAATTTTTTTCTGAACTATCAATTTTAATTTTTTTTAATTATTGCTAAAATTATTTTCAAAAATATTGAAATCTCTTCAGTAGTTATTAAGAGAATCGTGCACTAATTCAGCTCTTTCACATGGAATCTTGTTTGTGAAATGGCATAAATATTGCATTTTTTATTTTCATTTCTTGTAAATTAGAAAAATAATTATAAGACAATTTTATTGGCATAATCTTAAATCACACCTTATTTTGATCACCAATTAAAAAGTTTTATATTACCAATTAAAAAGTTAAAAAATGTGTTTTAATTTTTGGAGGAAGACACTGTATATAATATATCTGCGAGTGCAAAATCTTATCATAAGCGATCCCTCATTTCAGGCTTTAACTGAAAGGCATTGGTAACTTTTAGGTTTCAACACATTGGTTTAGTAAAAGTCCAAAATGAAAATTTATTAAAGCATACTTCGGAATTTTACAGATTCACTTTGGTAAAAGCTAGGTTTTACTGGTAAAAACCTAGGATTTACCAGACTCTGGGCTTTTACAGTAACATAGGAAACAACATTGGCATTAGCTGCATGCAAGATGCCACCAAGTGCAGAGTTATCTGATTGCAAGAAAGGTAAAATCGTCAGTTACCACACAAATGGTCGATCCTTAAGTAGTATATCTAGTCTTCTGAATTACACAAAATAGACAGTGGCCTACAAGATTCAGAAGTAGAAGGTGAGCAGTGACTGTCAGAATGTGCCCCTAGTCAGCAGACCCATGGAACTGGGAGATAGAAACCGACGCATGCTGTCTACAGAAATTAAGAAGAATCACACCCAACTGATGGCCCACATACGAGAAGTTTCAACAGGCATCCAAAAGTGTTGTTTCAATGAATAACATCCGTAAGGAAGCCCAACTGCTCGATTTTCATGGTCGTGCTTCAACCCATAAGCCTTTAATGACAAAGTCCAACCACACTGCTCGGTTAATGTGGTGTAAAGCAAGTCAACAGTGGATCATAGGTCAGTGGAAATCGGTTCTCAGGAGCAATGAAACAAGGTTCAACAGGGTCTTGGTCTGGCGTCTGCCTGGACAACAACTTCAACCAGAATGCACTACACCCACAATAAAGTTCGTAGGGGGAATAATGATTTGGGAGTATTTCTCCTGGCATGGACTGGAACCCTTGGTTCAAATTCATGGCAAGTTCAATGTCGATGCCTATTGCACTATTCTGGATGACAGTGTGCTTCCCATGTTGAGGCAGTTTTATGGGTTTGGTCCATGTTACTTTCAGGATGACAACACCAGCTACCATATCCCGAGGTCCACCATGGATTGGAATGGTGACAGCGGGTTTAACCAATTGTACTAGCTTGCCCACAGCCTAGATCTGAGCCCTATCAAGAACATCTACAATGAGTTGGATTGCCAAATTAAAGGGTGTAATAACACCCCAATATCAGTGAAGGAACTTGCATGTCTTCTCAAAGCTAAGTGGAAGAAAATATCAGTAACCGTCATACAATCGGAGGGTTGAGGTTGTAACTGCTGCTCATAGAGCCTCTACCAACTATTGAATACAAATAAATTTTGTTTTTTCTTTAACATTGCAGGTATACAAATACATATTGATAGATAGTGTAGTACCAACGTATACAAGATCACATTTTTCAAGTTAAAAATTGACCTTCATACGATGGCAGCACTTCAGTGAAGATCACTGAAAGTTATGATTTAGTATTTTAAATAAATCACTGAAAGTTGCAATTGACTAGATAATTTAATAAAACTGATACTTTACTTACCTATGCAAATCATCAGATTCATTAACAGGAATCTCTTCCATTTTGAAGTTTAGATTCAGAGCATCTTAAAAAATAATAATAATAATATCCTCAAATTCAACACTTATAATTACTGCATAAGAACTAGGGAGCACTTATCTAAAAAAAAAATTCTAGTTAATAACACCAAATCTGAAATAAACATATATTGAAAATAAGCCAACTTTATTCTTTTGCATGCAACATACAGGGGTTGGACAAAAATATGAAAACACCTTTAAAAAAACACGTTTCTTTGCTTAATATGGTGTAGGAAACCTGTTGGCATCCAAAACAGCTTGCAGTCTTCTCGGAATGGATAAATACAGTTCCTGTATGTTTGCCAAGGGAATATTATACCATTCTTCCTGCAAAATGGTGGCAAGTTCAGATAACGATGTTGGCAGTGGATATAATGAGAACGCACTTTCCATTCCAATGTAGACCACAAAGGTTCGATAATATTCAGGTCTGGTGACTGTGGTGGCCAGGGGAGATGGGATCCTCGTGCACAGAAAACCTCGTGCACAGAAAACCAGTCCTGGACAATGTGAGCTGTGTGAACAGGGGCTTTGTCGTCTTGGAAGACACCATCACCATCGGGGAGCAAAGTTTGTACCATGGGATGAACTTCATCGGCCAAAATGTTCACATAAGTCTTGACAGTCATGTGCCCTGACACAGTTATCATGGGACTAGCAGAGAACCACGATATGGCTTCCCAAACCATAACAGAACCTCCGCCATGTTTCACTCTTGGCAACAAGCAGTCTGTATTATAGGCTTGAGATGGCGTTCTCCAGACGTAAACTCGGCCAGAAGTGGGAAACAATGTGAAAGAAGACTCGTCAGATCATATTACTCGCTTCCACTACTCTATAGTCCAGGCTTTATGACTTAAACACCACCTTTTCCTGTTACGGGCATTAGCATCCCTGATGATGGCTTCTCAGTTGCAGCACCGCCAGCAATTCCCCGTTTATAAAGCTCCCTTCTAATTGTTTTGGTACTCACAGGGTTCGGTAACACAACATTCATTTTAGCAGTAACTTTTGCAGCTGTGGTCTTCTTATTTTTCGTCACAATTGCCCTTAATGATCGTCTGTCACGATCACTCAGGACACACTTTCGTCCGCACTGTGATTTAGCAGATGATGTTTTTCCGCTTTTCAAATATGCGGAATAAATCTTCGATACAGTACCTCTTGAAACACTAAACACCTCGGCTACCTTGCTTATGGAAGCACCTACCATACGTGCTCCAACAATTTGCCAACGTTCAAAGTCTGTTAACTCTGACATAATGCAATGACAACCTCACATAACAGTACTCCGACAACAACTGAACTGTTTAGCACATTTACGAAGTTGTATAGGTGGCGTCAGTAGTCAAAAAAGCTAGCGCCACCTACACATTTCATTAAAATCAATCTTTCTTTTCAAACATGCATTTCACAAGGTGTTTCCATATTTTTGTCCATCCACTGTAATACTTTTTGCTACAGAAAGCTTATTGCAGAACAGTTCAGAAAAATTTGTTTTAAAAGAATTTTGATAATAATATTAGATTAATTATTACACATAAAAAACTTTTTTTTTAATTTATGAGAGAAAAAGGAAACATATTTCCTGTAAATGAAGGAAACATTTCAGAAAAAGGTACTTTCTAATTATGCGCAAATCTAGAAAAGAGATGAATGACTGGATGATTTGCTGAAAAATACTTATTTGGCTGTCTTTAAGGCTCACAGGTACAGTTCTGTTCACAAATAATATTTAAAAAACGTAAGAAAGAGTTACACAGAGTTGTACACACAGTTAAAATAAAAGATACTACAAAATATATTTATATTAATTTTTTTCTTTATTACTGTAAATTATTAAAATACAATTTTAGAATTAATGATCATGTGACCGAACAATTTCTTCAAAACTTTAAAAACAATACAAAAGATATACAGTACAAAGACCGTAATCCGGACTCGTCGGGACTTCGGCGATTCCGGATTAGGGGTTTTTCCGGATTATAGATCATCAATTTAAATCTGGTAAGATGGCACGCAAAAATTATACAATTAATAATATGAAACCATAATTTATGAAATAAAGAGCAATTATGATCTAAAGGGTATCAAAATTTACAAAAAAAAGCTTAATATTTATTTGTTTACTTCATGAAACATTTCTTTCAATGTACATTGTTTAAGTTGTTTAGTTTTTTGTGCTAATACTTTCTCTTTAATTCTATAAACAGACATAATTTCTTGTTCATTTACAAAGTTCCACTGTTCAAGTCCTGTAATTGCTGTGTCAAGAATACCAACTAACTTGTCAATCAAAACTTTTTCGCTTTCAATAACCTCTCTGTCACTTTCTATCGGAAGCGCGCATGGGTAAACGCTTTACGTGCATGCGTAATGGATGCGCGAATTAAACACGGATGGGTAAACGCTTTACGCGCATGCGTAAGTTTACGGCTTTGAGGTCCGGATTATAGATCATTCCGGATAATGGACGTCCGGATTGCGGACTTTATACTGTATTAGAAAAATCATAAAAAATCAGAGTACTGTTGTTATCAGGACCAGATCCAGAAATGTATGTATGTATGCATGCATGCATGCATGGATGTGTTCTTGTATGCATGCATATATGTAGATTACTCGGTCCAAAATTTCATTTAAGTAAGTAATGTAAGCGGTCCAAAATTTCATTTAATTGGATCAAAAAACGTGAGAGCGAAGAAACAGAAGCCACAAGCCGGCCGCGTACACCGGATGTACAAGTGGTCTACGACCTATGGGAGGATCTGTAGTAGTGGCCCCCCAGGAAAATGCTTTATCAAAGGTCAGGAATTCCTTAAAGTGCATGACAAAAGCAAAACCAGTGGGAGGTGAACACGTGCACCATTTTCTTTTACCTGTGCCTCCGAGTTTCAAGGAAATGAACAATAGAGCATCTGGCTCCACCTGAAAGGAATTCCCACCTCTCAATCATCATTAAAGTTTACACGAGAAAGCTATCATTTCATCACCTTTTTGGGATGATTTTAGTGCCAAGGCTTTGAATGGCGAGCATTTTATCTCCCTCTTGACCTCAACATCTTGAACCTGAAACACCAAGGGTTCTTCAGACCACTTTAGTCAGTGAACTGTGTGCGTGTCTTATCTTCCCTGCCAAAATGTCACAACAGGACTTGACGTTAAATGAAAAATTGGTTTCCTGGATAAGATCAAGCAACAACCACGAAACACTAGTCAGCATCGGTTGGTGGAAATAACCAGATTGGCACAGACTACAATTTCGTGCTTGTTAAAACAAGAGAATGAGCTGCGAGAAGAATGGGCACAAGAATATGAAGGACGAGGAGGAACTTCCAAAAAACGGAAGCATGAAGGCAAGGACCCAGATGTCGATGAGGACCTTAATGAATGGTTTGCCAATATTAGTTCTGGACAATCTGTGTGAGTAAGCGGCCCAATGTTAAAATGCAAAGCAGAACTCACTAAAAAGCTGGGCCACGATGACGTTAACGCTATGGACTGTTGCTTGTCTCAATGGAAATCTAGACATGACATAAAATTCAAGAAAGCACCTGGCGAGTAAGAAAGTGCTGATAGTGCAAATACTGAAGAATGGAAATCAACAAAACTGCCCGAATTTCTTGAAAATTTTTCAGCAGATGACATCTACAATGCTGATGAGACTGGGCTGTATTATTGTGCTACACCGATGGCTCGTTAAGTTACAAACATGTTGCACTCTCTGGCTCCAAAAAAGTGATGGATCGCGTAACTATCTTGCGCTGCTCAAACATGTCAGGAACGGACAAGAGGAAGCTGTCGGTTATAGGAAAAAGCATTATGCCTTGCTGCTTTAAAAGACTTAAGATGGAGAGTTTACCAGTTGTGCATCGTGCGAACAGAAATGCGTGGATGACCTCTGAACTTTTTAAAGAATGGCTGAAGGATTGGAACACAGAGCTACAACGCCAGTCGAGAGAAGTGCTGCTTCTGCTTGACAATTGTGCATCACATCCTCATTTAGATTGCTTGATGAATGTCCAAATGGAATTTCTACCTCCCAGGACAACAGCTTTGGTCCAAGCCAATGGACATGGGCATCATAAAAAATTTGAATCCTTGAAGCAATTGAAGAAAGTTTGCTGACCTCATCATCAAAAGCCAGCAAAGTCAGTGCAAAGGTCAACATCTTACAAGCAGTTACATTTGTGACCGACAGCTGGCGAAAAGTGAGCAGTGAGACAATTCAGAACTGTTTTTCTCACTGTGGCTTTAAGTACTTGGTTTTGGAGATGGATGTAAACATGCTCATTGAAAGTGAAAGTGGTGATTTACATGTGGAACTTCAACAGATACAAAATTGCAAAGAATTTTTATCCATTGACAAAGAGCTTCAATGCTACGATGAAAATGAAGTTTACGACGCTGCAATTGTTGCTCGAGTTGCAGTAAAACACATGACAAACCAAGGAAGTGATGATGATGATGCCGCTAATAAGTTAGTGCAAGTGATAACATAGGATGCGAGGAAATGCATTGAAACTTTGCGTCAGTATTTCATGCAGGAGGGAAATGAAGGCAGTCCCATTGCTGCGTTAGATATTTGTGGTGATTTAATTCACGTGCAATTCGTCAAGAGAATGTGTCAGATCACATTGGATAAGTTCTTCAAATGTTGACTGGAACTTGGTTAGAAATTGTTTTTATTGTGCTTCGCATGTTGAGTATAGTGGAGATTGTTTCTTAGAATTCGTTTCTAAATTAATGTTCTCAATGGAAAAAAGTTCGACTGTATTTCTTGTTTGTACCGCACCATAAAGTTCTTAATTACATTTTAGTACATGATTTACATGTACATTTACTGTTTGCTACATATAGCACATCCCATCTTACAACATAGGCCATGTTTGTGTAATCAGACCAGCTGCTTTTTAGGACCAAAACGATCGCTTCCCAATGTGGTCCGATTAACCGGAATCGACTGTATTTCTGAATCCGGACACAATAACAGACAGTACCAAATTCAGTTTAAAAAATGTTAATTCCAAAATGTGAAAAAATGGTTAGTTTATATTTTAGGGAGACCATTTGATTATCACCAAGTTGTTTCATTTATCGCCATATTGTTGTTTCATTTATGGTAACCCGAATAGTTGAATGTTATGGAAACCCTATTACGACGCGATTGGTTGTGTGATTGATGGGAAAATATTTGGCTTATTTCTGCGTTGGATGTCAGTTAAGAAGTATACTGCTTATTTTGTTCTGTGCACTGTAAAATGGCTGTACGTGATTAATCTGAAGTTTCTGTACAATTTGGAAAGAAATGGTTTATAAATGACTGGTGTGTAAATGAAGATTTACTTAGTAGTCATTATAAATGCCCTGCTTATATGAAGGAAATGTGTACGGTCAAACATAAAGATCATTCAGATGGCTTTAAATGAGTTTGTCGCAAGAAACGCCACCGACAGTCTGACACTACAGAGGATATTTTTGACTCTTATTTTTGTGAATTTATGTGGTGACGGCAGTATGCATATGCTAGTTCAGATAATTTTAGAAAGTTTTTGGATGCTGTTAAAAAATTATGTGCGCCAGAGACTGAAGACACAGAAATTTCTAAATATTTACTTTTTTTAGTGCATATTTCATTGTGTGATTTAAAATGCAGTTTATTAAACTTTGGTTGATTAAAAATTTTGTTCAATTTTGGTGGTGAGTAACTTTGCTGTAATATTATATAACAGCATCATTCTTCTGAATTTTTTTAAGTAAAAATAGATTGATGTGTACATGGACAAAGTCAAGGGAGTGTGCAATACCGAGTTTGTGCAATTCTCTGATGATTTTTTTTTAAGTGAAAATAGATCATGTGTACATGGACATTGAGTCTGCGCAATTCTTTGATTTGTTATTTTGGTTTTGTGTAGTGGCCATCTTGAAATTTTGTCTTATAATCTTATAATTTTATAGTGGACATCTTTTTTTTAAATGTTGCTCTGGCTTTTGAAGTTCCTTGTTGTAATGATTCTTCTTTTTAATCTTCCGCAGATTTAATGGTGTATTTTCAAACATCACTTCAAAGCAAAAATGCTCGTCTCCATAATATGATTTTATTTATCAAAAAAGATAGAACTAGAGAGAGAAACCATGTCATAAAAACCAAATCAGCATACAGAAAGTACTGGTTTGAAAATTCTCATTTCTCCATCACAACTGCCACAAGATTCAGTTATTTATGGTCGATGGAATTGACATCTCTCGAAATTTGCAATTAAGAACTTCGCTTGTCACACACTACTGTATGTATTCGTCGAATGGAATAATTATCTACAGGAAAATTTGCACTGAAGACATTTTGGGCCAAGAATGGAAAATAGAAGAAGATAGAAGGCTGTTTTTAAATATTTTTAGCCCAATGGGGACATTAGCCTAAATGCTCTCGAAACATGTATGTGTGTGCAAATGAAAAAAATGCCCTTTCGGGCATAATATAAAATTTGAACACTTTCAGATTTTATATTTTTTTAATATTTATTTTGGGCACTTTATAAAAATGTAGGCTACCTTATCAACAATTACAAAATTTGTTGACATTCTAGGCACATAATGGAAAAGTACTCATGACTTTTTCAGCAAATTTCAACCGTCTTCCAAATTAAATACATAATTCATTTGTCATTAGTTCAATCAAATACCTATTTTATTCATTTCTCATTTAGTTGATATGAGAATAAAAATTATTTGGGGCACTTCCTTATTATAGCAACCCTCAAAATTGAATTGCTAATCAACCGAGATACCTCGCCAAATGTTCTTATATTATTTGCTATATGTTACTTTTTTTTAATTAATATTTTTTCATCAAAAAATTCACCCCTATTCAAATTCAGCTCTTCCCCCCCCTTTGAATATTTATTTACTCCAGTAAATTTCTGGTATGTTGGAAATAAATTATTTTAATAGATTTAAACTGACAATTTTCTAAATGTAGAATTTTTATCAAAGCGCTCTTCTAAATAAGAATTATTCAGGAAAGAAATAATTTAATAAATAAATAAAGTCATTAATAATCTTTTGAGATTCCATGTTATCTATTTTTTTTTCAAATGCTGATGAACTTAATCATTAATAATCTTTTGAGATTTCACGCTATCTATTTTTTTAATAATCTCAAAAGATTATTAAGTCATTAATAATCTTTTGAGATTCCACATTTTTTTTTTTTTTTTTTTTTTTTTTTTTTTTTTTTTTTCAAATGCGATGAACTTGAAATATAAAACATTCTTCATCCTATAGAGATTTAAGACTATTTCGAAACTAACGAAAAATATAACAACCTTTCATTGGGTTACTATGCTGAGAAAACTGGATCACAGAGTGGAAATCGGAGCCAATTCTCCAGCCAGCTAAATTTCAAAACCCTCCTGTGCCAAGTGTTATAATTAAATGCCTATGTCACCATTCATCTGAAAAGATTTTTAATTCTGAAACAAAGGGCTTTAGACGTTTTTTCTAAAGCTGATTAAAGAACTGCTATTTCCAAAACAGGACAACTGGCATTCCCAGCTACAACCTTCACACAAATTTCTCAATACTTTTTATTAATGTTGTTCATTTTTTTAAATATCAATTATATAAATTAATATCAGCATCTCTGATGTATTTAAATGAATTCAAATAAGTATAGAATTTGATTTATCAGATTTATGGTTTGTGATTTATATGATTATGGCAAAGCATACTAAAGCTATCTGCTTAAGGAAAGGGATGCCTTTGTGGAGAAATGGCTTGCATCCACATTACACATAGGAACAACCCTGCAAACACCCTACAACTAGCCCATTAGCCTGGAATTGAACCTAGGTCAAACTATCACTGTTAAGCACCTTTACCACTCCACCACTGATAGACCAATTTATCAGATTTAAAGAGCTAAATAAATAAAATACTTATCACAATTATTCTTACTACAAAATGTTTAAATGACAATCAGCTTTAAGTTTTTGATATCAGATGCCAAACAACTACATTTTTACATGATGTACCTTAATTTTAAATTAGAAAGTATCTACAGAAAGTTTACTTCTAATAAAAAGAATTTTTTTTTTTTGGTTGTTGTTGTTATTTTTACATAAAATATCCATACAGATAAATATGGATTATTATGCTCTTACAAGTAACAAAAGAAAACTTTCCTAAGAAATAGAATATTTGTTGATAAAAAATATTAATAGAAAATATATTTAATTCTTCCACTATGAGAAAAAATCTTTTACTTTCTAGCAAACAGATTTTTTTTTAAATTTATGAATATTAGTAAAATTATTAGTAAGAAATATATTCAATTTAATTCTTCCACTAAAAAAAATTTTTTTTTTCCTTATAAATAAAATTTATAAATATATTTTTTCTAACAAATAGAATAACTTTTTTAATTTCTGAATGACAAATATTAATAAGAAATACATTCAATTTAATTCTTCCACTACAAGACAAAATCTTTGATTATTTGCTTCCATTTTCAGCTTGATCTGCTGCTTCAAATTACATCATAATACTTTAGAAAATAATAAAGACCCTTTAAATTTTTGAATGAATTCGAGAATTTAAATAAAGGCTAACAAAAATTTTTTAACAATAATTCAATGAAAATTTTATTTCTTATTGAGAATCAGCCTCTTTACAGTTTTTAAAATTATATCCATTTTTGCTTTTAAAATAAATCTGGTAAACTAAGTTATTTAAAATATGTATTGTTTACATGCTATCAAGTTTATTTTGTCACTTTCACACTTCAAAAACTGCATCTAGGATAAAAGAAACACTGAATAAGATTAAAACAATACATTACTAAAAATTGTTTAAAAAAAATTGATGTTTTAACTTTTGATTACAGGTTTGGAACATCTAATTTATAATAAAAATTAAATATAATTTAAAATGAGTAAACCCACATAATCTCACTTACAATATCTAAATAGTTTATTCACAATGCGAATAACGCCAACGTCAAAATATAAGCTAACTTTCAAATGTCACATCCCATCTGGGCAGTAAGTAAACACATCTGCAAAATTGTAACCAGTTTCATTACACGCTGTATACAAACGAGACTACCAATTTTACATACTTCGTGGACAAAACGTCAAAATTTACTTACGTATTATATCTAACTAAGTGAAAATAATTTATAACATTTCGATTTATTAAAAGCAAAAATTTTAAATATATCCTAATTTCCCAAGATTATAAAATACACAATATCTTAGGAAAAAGTATGGCTAACGATTATGGGATTTGAAAACTGGTATCAGACATTTCTAATAAATAAATTGGTTGATCTAGGACATACAAACTAATTTAAAAAATTAGATTCACATCCTCACCATAACAATACCCACGAACAGAATTTACACTTGCACATACAATACACACTGAAACTACTGTTGCCAACTTAACAGGAAAAAAATAAAGAATAACATAAATCCAAGCAATGTCGAATCCAAGCATAGGCTCAATAAAATTATGAAGCTTTTAATGTGAATATAAAATATTAATACCAAAAAGGCTATTAAAGAAATTTGAAAGAGTTTATAAATGCCCGAGTAAAGAAATAAATATTCAGAATAAATTATATAGTAATACTTGTTTCTGGAACAGATTTTTCTGAATATTTTATAGTAAATCATTGTCGGAAATGAAATAAATACACTCGACGTACAAAAATAAAATTTCACAGCTATCAGAAATATACAATAATTACTAGTTCATCTCCATTTGGACAGCTACTATCACTTTAATCATGAAAAGTTGGCCGCGCCCATTTGTTTGTTGTGTTGTTTTGCATGAGTTAACCATGATTAAATATCTTGCCTTTTTTGCAGTTTTTCTTGTCCAGACTATCTGTCAGTTTGATTGGCAGATACGGGATGGATTTGATGAAATTACTTCTCGTATGAAGAAAGTCAATGCAGATAATTGCAAGGTAGTTGACCGAAATACCTTATTTTTGCCGAAAGACTCCGTCACACATATACCAAATATTCGGCAAATTGGTATAGATCCTGTTTTACCAAATCGAACTAGTCTTTTGCAAATACACAATATGGCCATGTCGAGGGCATTTTTTTACAGGTATAGTTTTCAGTAATTTAGTAGTATCATTTAGAAACTTATGCTAATTGTTATTATTTCTTTCGTCAACAGCATTGGGAAATAATTATATGATTGTATAACTTTCATATATCAAAATTAAATATAGGTTAAATATTTGATGAAGTACAATAGGTAAAACAGTTTTTTTTTTTCAACTTGTAGTGCACTAATGCTTTGCTTTTTTCCTGCCTTATTACCCATATTTTAATCTTTCAATCTACATTCATAGGTTTAATCATGTTCAGATATAAAGTGATACTAATGTATCTTAAAGACATCAGAATATGAAAAAACGTGATGTTAAATAACGTCATGATTTTTTTTCGGTTGATCTTTACATTATGGTAACTTGGCGAAAATTTGGCAACCAACTCTCCTACAGCAACCCTCTATTTCTTTTTCCCCGCCGCCATTTTGTCTTCACGAAGTAAAGACATGTTTCTTTTTATCTACTGAACACTTCTTCCAACAATCTACTAGCCGAATTACACTTATGCTAGAAATTTTATCAAACAAAACTGCTTAATCATGACAAATATTCACTGCAAAATTGGGAAAAAGTGCACAATACCATACTCCTTATGCGTTTTTCAAAATAACCCATACAGGTTGATCTTTACATTATGGTAACTTGGCGATTTTTTGGCGAAAATTTGGTGACCAACTCTCCTACAGCAACCCTCTATTCCCCCCCCCCCCCCAATCCCCCCCCCCCGCAATTTTGTCTTCACAAAGTAAAGACATGTTTCTTTTCTTTTTATCTCCTGAACACTTCTTCCAACAATCTACTAGCCGAATTACACTTATGCTAGAAATTTTATCAAACAAAACTGCTTAATCATGACAATATTCACTGCAAAATTAGAGAAAAACTGCACAATAACCATCCTCCTTACGCATTTTTCAAAATAACAACACATACACATAAACCCATGTACACGCCGACTTATTTTTACTTAAAAAAACATCCCAGAATTGCACAAAAATGGCATTGCGCACACTCTTCACTATATCCATGTACACTGCTTTTTTCTCATAAATTAATAAATTTCACGAAAATACATGACAATTTTCTCAATCTTTAAACCCGGTAAAAAGAACATATATGAAATTACATGATCGCGAAAAAGTATTTACCCTTTACAAATATCAACATTTCCACATATAAAATAATTAGAATATCCAAAAACTTTTACCTCTAAATCATCTATTACATTATACACGTCACCAACGAATTCATACCTCAAGCATTACAAATACTTAATATCAAATATTTAAATTATTTCCATGCACGTTTATTTCAACTTAAACGTATACCAAATTCCTACAAGCATAAAATTCACAAAATAACTATCATTTCATTAAAATATCACTAAACCATGTACACGTCGACTTATTTTTACTTAAAAAAACATCCCAGAATTGCACAAAAATGGCATTGCGCACACTCTTCACTATATCCATGTACACTGCTTTTTTCTCATAATTAAAAAAAATTTCAACGAAAATACATGACAATTTTCTCAATCTTTAAACCCGGTAAAAAGAACATATATGAAATTACATGATCGCGAAAAAGTATTTACCCTTTACAAATATCAACATTTCCACATATAAAATAAATAGAATATCCAAAAACTTTTACCTCTAAATCATCTATTACATTATACACGTCACCAACGAATTCATACCTCAAGCATTACAAATACTTAATATCAAATATTTAAATTATTTCCATGCACGTTTATTTCAACTTAAACGTATACCAAATTCCTACAAGCATAAAATTCACAAAATAACTATCATTTCATTAAAATATCACTAAACCATGTACACGTCGACTTATTTTTACTTAAAAAAACATCCCAGAATTGCACAAAAATGGCATTGCGCCACACTCTTCACTATATCCATGTACACTGCTTTTTTTTCTCATAAATTAAAAAAATTTCACGAAAATACATGACAATTTTCTCAATCTTTAAACCCGGTAAAAAAAAAGAACATATATGAAATTACATGATCGCGAAAAAGTATTTACCCTTTACAAAATATCAACATTTCCACATATAAAATAAATAGAATATCCAAAAACTTTTACCTCTAAATCATCTGTTACATTATACACGTCACCCAACGAATTCATACCTCAAGCATTACAAATACTTAATATCAAATATTTAAATTATTTCCATGCACGTTTATTTCAACTTAAACGTATACCAAATTCCTACAAACATAAAATTCACAAAATAACTATCATTTCATTAAAATATAATTAAATTCAAAAACACTACTTAAAATATAAATGAGCACATACTACATTAAATTAATAAAAAATTACCTTACAATCCTAATTACTTTAAACTAAATCATTGCTAATAACAATTTTCCCAATAATACCAAATTCCTTTCGACCTTACATTTACAACAATGCATAAAAATAATATCCTCAAATAATTAAAATACTAAAATACTAACTTACCTAATCTTCTTCAGAATCTTGATTACGTGGCGGATACACTTTTCTTCCTTCTGTTTCAGAATCTTTAAAATTATACTTATCTTTCAAAGCAAGATACCAGGTAAAATAAATAACATAATAAAACATCTTTCTTTCTCTCTCGCACAACCTTAAAAAACATTTATTACTATCCTTTTCAATACCACTAAATACCCATTTCGAATTCACTTTAGTTACGGCCATGGGATTCAAAAATTCACAAACACTATTTCACAGAACACAGAATAAAACCAAATACAAAATTGCCAGATTTTTTCTCGATTAAAGAACAGTAATTCATCCATTAATATCACATGACATATCCCATGATCTCTCATTTCCCTCACACAAAATAATGCGTAATCAGAACTGAATACTACTCACATTCTTAACAAAGTCTAACTAACCTAATCTTCTTCCGAATCTTCCTTACATGGTGGATACACTTTTATTATGGTTTCAATAAAATTACTGAACGATTTTTTTTTCCGAATTTGATAGAATTTGATAAAAAAAAATTCTCTTTATCACATCTACAATTCACTTTAGACAGCGCCATACAATCCCAAAAATTATTCAACCCTACTTCACACAACACACAATGAAGCTTAATACTGCAGCTAATAGTACATCCACAGATACTTTTTCCAAATTCCCCCCTTTTCCGATTAAAGAACTGTAACCGTTTATTTGTCCATTAATGTCACATGACCATATCCCATGATCTCTCATTTCCCCTCACACAAAATAATGCGTAATCGGAACTGAGTACTGCTCCATTATTACCAAAGTCCCAGGTAGTAATCTTTATCGCCTCCAAAATGTCGCCAAACTACCAGTTTACCATATTGTAAAGATCAACCCACATACACATAAACCATGTACAACGCCGACTTATTTTTACTTAAAAAAAACATCCCAGAATTGCACAAAAAATGGCATTGCGCACACTCTTCACTATATCCATGTACACTGCTTTTTTTTCTCATAAAATTAGAAAAATTTCACGAAAATACATGACAATTTTCTCAATCTTTAAACCCGGTAAAAAGAACATATATGAAATTACCTGATCGCGAAAAAGTATTTACCCTTTACAAATATGAACATTTCCACATATAAAATAAAATATCCAAAAACTTTTACCTCTAAATCATCTATTACATTATACACGTCACCAACGAATTCATACCGCAAGCATTACACATACTTAGTATCAAATATTTAAATTATTTCAACTTAAACGTATACCAAATTCCTACAAACATAAAATTCACAAAATAACTATCATTTAATTAAAATATCACTAAACCATGTACACGTCGACTTATTTTTACTTAAAAAAAATCCCAGAATTGCACAAAAATGGCATTGCGCACACTCTTCACTATATCCATGTACAACTTGCTTTTTTCTCATAAATTAGAAAAATTTCACGAAAAATACATGACAATTTTCTCAATCTTTAAACCCGGTAAAAAACATATATGAAATTACCTGATCGCGAAAAAGTATTTACCCTTTCCAAATATGAACATTTCCACATATAAAATAAATAAAAGATCCAAAAACTTTTACCTCTAAAATCATCTATTATATTATAAACATCACCAACGAATTCATACCGCAACCATTACAAATACTTAGTGTCAGATATTTAAATTATTTCCATGCACGTTTACTTCAACTAACTAAAACGTATACCAAATTCCTACAAACATAAAATTCACAAAATAACTATCATTTCATTAAAATATAATTAAATTCAAAAAACACTACTTAAAATATAAATGAGCACATACATTAAATTAATAAAAATTACCTTACAATCCTAATTACTTTAAACTAAATCATTGCTAATAACAATTTTCTCAATAATACCAAATTCCTTTCCACCTTACATTTAGAACAATGCATAAAAATAATATCCTCAAATAATTAAAAATACTAACTTACCTAATCATCTTCAGAATCTTGATTACGTGGCGGATACACTTTTCTAATTCATTCAATAAAATTATTGAAAGATTTTTTCTGTGAATGTTTTCTCCATACTTCCTCCGCTAAATAAAAAGCAAACTTCTCTTTATCACAATGCCTAAATACCCATTTCGAATTCACTTTAGTTAGGGCCATGGGATCCAAAAATTAAACAACACTGTTTCACACAACACAGAATAAAGCTATATACAAAATTTCCACATGTTTTCCCGATTTCCCCTCTTTTCCGATTAAAGAACCGTAATTCGTCCATTAATATCACATGACATATCCCATGATCTCTCATTTCCCTCATGCAAAATAATGCGTAATCGGAACTGAGTACTGCTCACATTATTACCAAAGTCCCAGGTAGTAACCTTTATCGCCTCCAAAATGTCGCCAAACTACCAGTTACCATATTGTAAAGATCAACCTTTTCGATATTAGTGTCCTAATGTAAGTAATAGATCAATCATCCTATAATTTTAATTTA